AAGCAAACAGAAAAATGTAGGTGATGTAAGACGGTTCTGAAGACGCTCTCAGACTGACCTGACTCTCCCATCCTTCTCACCTGTAGTTCTCAAATATACCTGCAGTCCGGGCGCGGTGGCTCACACTGGTAATCCCAGCACCTTGGGAAGCTGAGGCGGGCGGATCACCTGAAGTCAAGGGTTCAAGACCAGCCTGGCCAACATGGTGAAAGCCCATCTCTACTAAAAATACAAAAATTAGCCAGGTGTGGTGGCAGGCGCCTGTTCGTCCTGTCTCTCCAGCCTCCTGTAGTCTGGAGTGGCCCTTCAGTCTTTCCTTATGTTTCATAGCCTTGACTCTTTGGGGAATACAATCAGTTATGTTCCAGAATGTCCTGGAGCTTGGATCGGTCCAGCACTTTCCTCGTGATTAGATTCAGGTCACGCATTTTTGGCAGAAGTGATGTGTCCTCAGCCCATCGTTACCAGAAGATGTGTCATGTTGATGGATCTTATTTCTTATGATGTAATGTTGGTTACTTAGTTGGGCATGTGAGCACACGCCTATGGTCCCAGCTACTCAGGGGGCTGAGGGGGGGAAGGATCACTTGAGCCCAGGAGTTCGAAGCTGCAGTGAGCTGTGATCCTACCCCTGCACTCCAGCCTGGGTGACAGAGTGAGACACTGTTTCTATTTTGAAAAAATACATATTACTTAGCTAACACAGTGTTTATCAAATCTGCACACTAAAAAATGTAACTCTTCTTTCTAATCAGTCAATATTTATGAGGAAAGAATTTTCACTTTTGGAGTTTCCTTTCCATCAGGAATAACTAGGAACCTCCACAAAACACGGAAAACAGTTTTCAGACATTGGGACGTGACTTTGCTTCCCGTTCGCTGTCCACCATGGTGGTGAGACCTCCTCAGCCATGTGGCACTGTGGTCCATTAAACTGCCTTCCTTTATAAATTAGCTGGTCTTGGCTATGTCTGTTTTAGCAGCCTGAGAACGGACTAATACACACAGAAACTCTTTGCAGTATTCCTGCAGCGTTTCTGTGAGTTCAAAACTATGTGAAAGTAAAACGTGAAGGGGTGGGTCAGATCTGTGATCCCCAAGAAAGGGGTGGAAGTGAGGCGAGCCCTTCCCTTGCCTTGGCTTTCTGCCTGGACGTCATTCCTGGGCTGTGCTGCAGTGAGGGGGACCCAGACAGAGCCAGTTCTCACTGATTTGAGGAGCCAAAGATCAGAGCTTGAGGAGGTTATGCTTACTCAAAACAGACACCAAAAGAATATTTCTGCCAGAAAAATTCCAACACCTCTTAAAGAAATGCAACAAAATTCAGGAGCCAACAACATGAACATTTAATGTCTAGCATTCAACAAAAAATTCTTATGCCTATAAAGAAGCAGGAAAATGCGACCCAGAGTCAAGAGAAAAATCAGTCCACAGAAGCAGACCAGGAAGTGACAGAGGGGACAGATTCTGCAGGACAACTGACCTGGATGCTTATAAAAATGTTCACGTCAGAGAAGATTGTTCTAGATTAAAGGGCTCTAAAGAGACACGAAAACCAAATGCAATCAGTGTGACAGGTGATGCCTCAATGGATGTTGGAGTAAAAGAAAAAACAAATGCAGCTGTAAAACATACTTTCTGAAGCCTTGGTGAAATCTGAATGTGGATGGAATATTAGGAAACCTTCTATCCATGCTCATGTTCTTAGGTGTCGTAATGGTACTGTGTTATGCAGGAGAATGTACTTGTTTTTAGAAGAAACACTCTGAAGTATTTAGAGACATGATCCCTAAAGTGATATGATCCCTGCAATGTATTTATTTTTATTTTATTAATTTTTTAAATTCTTAGTTGTGGTTAAAATACACATCACATAAAATTTACTTTAACTATTTTTAAGTGTACAGTTCAGTAGTGTTAGGTATATTTTAGACTGTGTCTCTAAAAAAAAAAAAAAGGCTGGAATAATTCCCTTCTATCTGTGCCTGTTTTTTGTTGTTGTTTGTAATGAAGTCTCACTCTGTCGCCCAGGCTGGAGTGCAGTGTTGTGATCTCGGCTCACTGCAACCTCCACCTCCTGCGTTCCAGCAATTCTCCTGCCTCAGCCTCCTGAGTAGCTGGGATTACAGGCACGCGCCACCATGCCCAGCTAATTTTTGTATTTTTAGTAGAGACGGGGTTTCACCATGTTGGCCAGGATGGTCTCGATCTCCTGACCTCCTGATCCACCCGCCTTGGCCTCCCAAAGTGCTGGGATTACAGGCTTGAGCCACCGCGCCCGCCCAGCCGCCTTCTTCGTTGGGGTTTGGGGCTGCTTGGACTTATCTCCGTGTTACTCTTCCACTTCTTGGAGTCCCCCTCTTCCCCTGAACAATGCTCGACACATGTTGCTTGGTGAGTTGTGGATTTAGTTGTCTGTTGTAACTCCACACCATATAGGATGAGATTCTGCATCTGATTTTTACCTACAGTGGCCCTGCAGACCCAAGAGATAAGAGAGGCTTTGAGGGCTATCAGAGAACTCCCTGTACTCTGAGCATGCCTTGAGCTGAGAATGTAAAGCCCTGGGACTGGTCTTTCCTTGCCTTAAACTCTCTGGTGTGATGATAACAAGCTCACCCCACAGTCCTTGGATAACCTGTTCTTGTACTGCCTATGGAAGAGAGCTAGGATTGAGTGGTACTTAGTGCTGAGTGATGACAGGTAATTATTTTGCCATCACATACTATGAACTGTTAGAACTCCATTCTCTCACAGTGACTAGGTCCCCACTGCTTTTAAATCAGCCAGAACCAGTCACCAATCCCAGTTCCCATCCTGGAGGACATGCTGCCTGCAATCGTTTCTGGTAACAAATCCGAGGTTAATTGGGAATCAGCGGCCGATGACGAGAGCCTCTTTGGTTCTTTGAAGGAGAAAGGAACCTAACACAGGAAACGGTGCCATTCCCGAGCCGTCGGAAGGCTGGAGGCTCTTGGAAGAATACTGCAGAGCTAGCCCCTGAAGGAAGCTGCCACGGGAGGCTGGCCCTAGAAGCGTGGTTTCCGGGTTGAATGCTTTAGGCTCACCTCTGCAAATCCACTCCCCACCATTGTCCCTCCTGGCGTCTGTGGACTGCAGCAGGGCGCTTCTTCCCTCTGGCTTCTGTCGGGATGTGGCTGGGGGAGGCCCTGGCAAGAGGGAAAAGACAGGTCTGGGTACGTATTCCTGCAGCAGAGCCCTTCTGTGGGGTCACCCTGAGCCAGCTGTGTCCCTCTACTAAAGGCCACAGCTCCTACCCTGAGCCCCTGTTAGAGCTTCGGTGATTCTGTTCCTGGGCTCTGGCGTCCACTCCCTCCTCTGCCCTGTAGGTTTTGAAGAAGTAACAGCTCTCCCGTGTTGCTAGCCAGGGTGCAGGGCCATCTCTTCTGGGTTCCTTTAACCCTGCCCCAGCTGTCCCTTTTCCAAACAGCATTTAGTCAGCACATGGGAACGTGCCGTCCCTTTGCTGCTAGGACTGTGACTGCTACAGCTAAGTCGCTGTGATCCGGGGTCAGAAGCCACCACCAGAACCACTGGGTCCAGAGCTGGGCTGAGCCTGCTACACACACTCCAGCAAAAGAGGCCCCGCTTCAGGTCGCTTCTCTCCCCGCCTGTCACGAGCCTCCGTCAGGCACAGGCACATCAGAATGGCAGAGATGGATTCGTGCATCTCGGTTTCTTCCTCTGTGATATGGGGGTGATGACTGTACCTACCTCATGGGGGTTCCAGTAAAACGAAGGCCCTTAAAATGATGTTTGTTTCATCACCAATATGAGCAAGAATGCCAGTCCGACGTTTGGTCATTTTTATATGAACGTTTTACAAACACCCTACTTTCCTGCTCTCACCCACCGCTGCCTCCTGCTTCCCACCTGATCTGTCCACGTCCTGCCTAACCTGTCAGAAAGGGTGGGTAGCTTCCCCGTCACCTGTTGCAAGGGAAACTCACCATTTCAGCCCGGATGGTGAAGATTCCAGCTCGAGAGACCAGCTGGGGCCTGAAGTGTTTCTCTGAGTATCTGCTATGCTGAGATCTCTCCTTCTCGGACCCTTCCATGCCTTTGCATATGCTGTTCCCTCCACCGGCCACGTTCTCACCCCTTCTTCTTCCACTGCAAACTCCTATGCAACCGTCAAGGCCCCATTCTCCTCTGGAAAGGCTTCCTGATCCCCTCCGCAACAACCACCATCAATATCTATTCACCCAGCCCACGTTGTGCCAGGCATTGTTCTAGATGTAGGTATGTAACCAGGATCGGAAGAGGCAGACCATAGCTGCTCCTGAGGAGCAAAGGTCTGGTGGTGAGGCAGGCGTCACACAGCAGATGGCTGACCGGCTGAGCCAACCCAATGCCATGGGTAAGGAAACCTCCAGGGGCTATGGTAAAAAATCGCAGAGAGGGCCAGCACTTTGGGAGGCTGAGGTGAGTGGATCACCTGAGGTCAGGAGTTCAAGAGCAACCTGACCAACATGAAGAAACCTCCATCTTTACTAAAAATACAAAATTAGCTGGGTGCGGTGGCACACGCATGTAGTCCCAGCTACTGGAGAGGCTGAGGCAGGAGAATCGCTTGAACCCAGGAGGTGGAGGTCGTAGTGAGCCGAGATTGTGCCATTGCTCTCCAGCCTGGGCAACAGGAGCGAAACTCCCTCAAAAAAAAAAAAAAAAAAAAAAAAAAAAGGGTTATAGGGAGGGGACGGCCTTCAGGTGAGGCAATGAGGGAAGTTGAAAACGGGGGAGGGGCCTCTAGGTGGAGGGAACAGGATGTGTGAGGAGGCCGAGGCGGGAAGGCAGGTGGTCCCCGTGGCGGGGACAGAGGCTGGGGGTGAGGGTGCAGGTACGGCCGGCAGGTCACCCATGCTGGGGCTCGTGGGCGGGGCTGCACAGCCTGGGGCTTATTTTAAGAGCCATTGGGTGCCGTTGGTGGTTTGCCTGAGTGGGGACAGGAAGTGACTCCTCTGACTGTTTGTGGGAACCCCAGCTCAGGGGCGGGCAGGGGGTGTGGGGAAGGCCGCAACTGAGAGGCCAGGTAGGAGGCTCCCTCGCGGTCCGGGAGAGGAAGGGGCCTGGCCTGGGCGGGGTGTGGACGTGGAGGCCGGGCTGGCAAGGTGCGGCCGCTGGTGGTGGGTTGTGGGGGTCGACCCCAGGCTCTGGCCGAGGTGGCTGCCATCGTGGACGTGAAAAGCCTGCGTGGACACTGGTGTGCTTGGGGAAGGCGGGCAGAGGGAGAGACGCGGCAGCGCCGAACTGAAGTGGCCTGTGGGCCGGGCCGGGCAGGAGGCGGGCGCCGCAGCTGTGGGCAGAGCTGTCGGTGGGGCCGGGGCAGCTCCGCGTTCACAGCCTCCCCGCCTCGGGCCCTGCCGCAGAGAGGAAGCTCCTTCTGGAGGAAGTGAGCCGCCGGCCTCCCACCTCCTGGCCTGGCCCCCGAACCCCCCAGAAGAACCCCGAACCCAGGACCACCCCTCGTGCCCCGTAGGCCTTGGTTTCCTGCCTGGAGAAAGCGGCCGGGTGAGCTCTGGCGTCGGGGCCACCGTCCTTAAGTGCTGGGGGGCACGGAGGGAGGGGCCCGACACCACCCGGGAGCGGAGGCCGCCTGGGTGAGGGTGTCGCTGAAGTGAGACCTGGAGTCCCCACGGCAGCTCTGCTGCCCCTGCTCAGAGGTGGGTCAGCGTCCTTCCTGTTCTAGGGAGGAGTTGCCACCCCCGAACTTCAGCCCCTCTGTCTCCAGGTGAAGAAACTGAGGCCCCGGGGCCAGGAAGGGGCTTGCCCAGGCTGCTGAACCCTTTGGGCAGCATCGAGTCCAGGCCTTCCTTATAAGCACGCGTCAGGACCAGAGAGGGCAGGGGGTTTGCCCAAGGCCACACAGCCTGAGTGAGGAGGAGCTGGCCTGGGGCAGGGCTTCCTGATGCCCAGGTCGGGCGCTTTCGTCTTCTCTGGCCGTGGCCCTCAGCTTGGGGATTAAGGGACTGGGAGTCAGTTCTACTGTCTGTGTTCCCCATCACCCCACGCTGCAGGCCACGATGCAGTCCGGCGCCCCCCGCCCCAGGCTGGCTGCCAGTCTGACACAGGTGGCCGAGCAAATGCCTCCGTCTCCCACAGCTCTGGGGGCTCCCTGCTGTGGTCACCAACATCTGCCGTGTGACCCCACCCCCCACCCCCAGGTCTGATTGAGTTTGAAAACACCGAGAAGACGGGGGGCTGCAGAGAGAGGAAGGAGGGGGCCAGAAGCCGCCAGCAGAGCCGGCGAAGCCTCCGCGGGAGAGGAAGTGGCCCGGGGGGCAGGAAGGAGGCTGGGGCGGCCCCTGTCTTGGCACGTGGCGAGCCCAGCCTTCTGCCTGTAACGAGGATGAGGAAGATGAACAGGGCCTCTGTCAACCCTGAGCCTTCCGGTTTATGGGATGGGAGATGTCACCTGCTGCGTCTTCACCCCAGCCAGCCCCACACGGGCCGGCCGGGAAGGTTCCCCTTGAGCTGTACCCGCTTTGTCCTGACGTCTGGGGTAGGGTGGGGGTGCATGGATAGGAGGGCGGGGGCCGCAGGATGGCGACGGGCGGCCGCTCTGCCCCTGCCTGGGGAAGGGCTGCGTCCCCACCGAGCCTTCGCGCAGCTGCGCCCTCCCCCTCTGCCTTTTTCTACCCCGTCACCCAGCGAGGGTTGGCTCAAGGCCTCGTTCTCACGGGGCCCGTACCCTGCCTAGGCTGGTGCTCGGTGACATGTCCCCGGAGCCCGGCTTCCACCCTCCTTCTGTGCCTCTAGGTTTAGAGGACATGCGTTTGGGGCTTCTCGGACCGTGACACCCTCTCCCGCATCCTCCGTACAGGCGATGGAGCTGGAGTCCTTGTATGATCTGCTGCAGCTCCCCAAGGGCATGGAGCCCCCGGCCGCGGAGGAGCTCCCACAAGGTGTGTGCCGGCAGGGGTCTGCGGGCGGGGGGTGAGGGTCTGCCTGGCGAAAGAGTGAGCCTGGCCATGCCTGGGATGTGCAGTGCCTTCCCAGCTGCCAGCTGAGTGCCCAGTTGTGCCCATCCCTGCCTCCACCTTCCGCCCTATGCTCGACCCAACTCCTCCTCCTGGGACCTTCCGAGGGGCTAGAAGCCCTCTCTCCAGGTGAGAGATGGTGTGGAGTACAATGGTGAATGGCGGTTGCTCTTGTCCCGTGAGCCTTCTGTATGCCGCTACCCACCAGCACCTCTTAACCTGTAGCAACTCATTTATTCCCAAGGGTGGGCATCAGTGCCTGCTTTATACAGATGAGGAGACTGAGAGACAAGGGGTGACATGCCACAGTAGCAGGAAACTCTTAGCAAGTGGTGGAGTGGGGGTCTGAGTGCAAGGAGGTTCCCAGAACTGAGGTTCCGTGACCAGCACGCAGCGATGCCCACCACGCAGCATGCCCACCACGCAGCGATGCCCACCATGCAGCATGCCCACCACGCAGCATGCCCGCCATGCAGCGATGCCCACTACACAGCATTCTCACCACGCAGCATGCCCACCATACAGCATGCCCACCACACAGCGATGCCCACCACGCAGCGATGCCCACCATACAGCATGCCCACCACACAGCGATGCCCACCACACAGCGATGCCCACCACGCAGCGATGCCCACCATACAGCATGCCCACCACACAGCAATGCCCACCACGCAATGCAAACCACACAGCATGCCCACCACACAGCGATGCCCACCACACAGCATGCCCTCCACGCAGCGATGCCCACCACGCAGTGATGCTTTGCAGGGTGTGGGGCTCCTGATGTGCTTCCCTCACATGTGTGGGTTTCTTTCAAAAGTGGGGTGAGCATAGGATGGAGCAATTCACCGAGTGTGGGTCACGCTTTCAGCAAAGCTCTGTGTCGTGAGCCCTTTCGGGAGCTGGTGACCACAGTCCCTGAAACCTCCTTCCTGGGAGATGCCTCAAAAGAAGGGCAGGGGCAGGTCCCAGAGCCGTCACCGTCCCTGTGTTCTTTGAAAGAAACAGACCAACAGCAGCACGCCAGGGAGCAGCCAGATGCCCCGGTGGGGAAGGGCTTTGGGTGAACTCATTGGAATTTATGTAACCATGAGAACATACACAGCCAGGTGCAGTGGCTCACCCCTGTAATCCCAGCACTTTGGGAGGCCAAGGCAGGCAGATCGCCTGAGGTCAAGAGTTCAAGAGCAGCCTGGCCAACATGGTGAAACCCCGTCTCTACTAAAAATACAAAAAATTAGCTGGGCATGGTGGCACGTGCCTGTAATCCCAGCTACTCAGGAGGCTGAGGCAGGAGAATCGCCTGAACCCAGGAGGCGGAGGTTGCGGTGAGCCGAGATCGCGCCATTGCACTCCAGCCTGGGTAACAAGAGCGAAACTCTGTCTCAAAAAAAAAAAAAAAAAGAAAAGAAAACCTAAGCATGCTGACAAAACGTGTGAACAATTTAAGGGAAAGGAGCGGAATGGGGCTTTCTCCAGCTCCTATGAATACCGTCTTTTTATTTTTATTTATTTATATTTTTTTTCTTGAGACAGAAATCTCACTGTGTCGCCCAGGCCGGAGTGCAGTGGTGCGATCTCGGCTCACTGCAATCTCCACCTCCCGGGTTCAAGCCATTCTTCTGCCTCAGCCTCCCGAGTAGCTGGGACTACAGGCACCTGCCAGCATGCCCGGCTAATTTTTGTCTTTTTACTAGAGACGGGGTTTCATCATGTTGGCCAGGCTGGTCTCAAACTCCTGACCTCAAGGGATCCACCCGCCTCGGCCTCCCAAAAGGGCTGGGATTGCAGGCGTGAGCCACCACACCCAGCCCTGAATGCCGCCTTTTAAGCAGGTGGTGTGGAGTGAACTCCAGCGCCAACAGGGTCCCCAGCGTGGCAGGTCCGAGAGTTGCCTGGCTGACTTCTTCCCCGTCTGGTATTCTGTGTTTAAGACACTGAAGATTGGCAGGCGTCTGAGGAGAGAGGCTGAGCGAGAACCGTGAAACCTGGTTACTGCAATAATAATAATAATTTATTTCTTGTGTTACAATTGATTTAAGAGACTTAAAGTTCTGGTAAGCAGAGCTGGGACATTGGATGACTCAAGCCACAAGAAGTCTGCTCCGGGAAGGAGCAGCACCATGTTCATTCATTCGTTCCTTCATTCATTCGGCGGCTCACTCTCCTGGGTGTTTGCCGAGAGCCTGCCCTTTGCTGGGCGCTCAGCCCATGATGCTGTTACCTTCTGTTTCATCAGGAGACATGGGGCTGGGCAGCACTCTAAGGTTTTCAGCAAGTCTAGGAAAAGCCTTTACTGGGGTCACATAGGAGACAACGCAGTTCGTGAATTTAGGCAAGACAGTCCGCACTGCTGACCGCTTTCCCCCTGTGCATTGGGACTAGCTGCCCTCAGAGGTCCTTCTCCGCCCTGAGATTTTGTGGGTTCTGTGCATCTGAACTGTGGGCGGCTGCTGGCCTCGGCCTTGGAGAAGGGGAGCTGCTGGGTCTCCGAGGGCCGCCCCGGGGGGTCCGACTACAAGGGGGACCACGGAGGGGCCTGGGAGACCTGGGCTGAGCCCACCTCAGCCCCTTAGAGCCTGGTGAGCCTGGGCGCCGCCTCCCCTCTCTGGCTGGGGTTTCACTTTACGTAAATAGGGAGGGTTGCCAGATAAAACACAGGATGCCCAGTGAGCTTTGGATTTCCAACAATCAAGAAATCCCTTCCGAGTTTATGCCTCAAAATAGAAATGCTGCAGTGTCTGAGGATGAGCTGGTGCCGGTGAGGCGAGGCTTGCCGGGGTGGCAGTGGCAGGACCGGTGCCCCGGGGCCGAGGTGCTGCGCTCTGTGGGTGACCTGCAGGGAGTGTGGCCAAGCGCCCCACAGGGTCCCCACGTGCTTGTCATACCCACTCTGCTTCCAGGAGGAAAGAAGAAATACCTGCCACCCACTTCCCGGAAGGACCCCAGATTTGAAGAACTGCAAAAGGTACCACAGCCTCCACAGCTCTGACTGCCCTGGCCACACTCTCGGGGCGGGGACAGCGGGATGTCCCTACTCCCTGGACTCAGGCTGGGGGGTGTCGACCCCCGAAGGGCCCTAGGAGCAGGTTACCCACAAAACCCGCACATAAAAACATGTATTGAGCACCAACTGTGTGCCTTCACATCCACCATCCCAGCAACCTCGTGCGATTTGAGGCGAATCTATTATTCCCCACATCCCGGGGAGGGGACAGATAGCGAGGCTTAGAGAGGGGACCTGATCTGTCCGGGGCACGCAGGTGCCTGTAACAGAGCTGGGGTTTGACGCGAGCTACTGGCCCCTAAGCCTGCGCTCCTCCCCAGCTTGGCTGCCCAAGGTGAAGGAGAACTTGTGGGACAGTGGCAGTGGGACCGTGGCAGTGGGACAGTGGCAGTGGGACAGTGGCAGTGGGACCGTGGCAGTGGGCCTGTGGCACCCATGCTCAGTTCTCTCCTTGGTCGTGGGTCTTGCTGCTATGGCCACTGGACCAGCTGGGCACAGGTGGGCTCCAGGCCTCTGTTTCCCTCAGCCTCTGTCTCCAGTCTCCACATGGCCTCTCTGTTGCCTCCTCCAAGGAGGCCTCCTGGGCTATGCATCTTCCATACCCAGAGGCTTTGTGGACCATTTTCCATCCTCCTTCCTATTCCCTCACTCCCTCCATTGCCTCTCCCACCTTTGGCCAGCACACCGGGTGCAGCCCTGCACCTGGCACTAGGGATGCAGAGAAGAGCCATCCGTGGCCCCGCCTGGAAGAGCTGGGGGATGCTCGGCTCCTCCAGAGGCTGATCCCGAGGCGAGGATCTGGGTGCCAGCAGTTGAGTTGGGAGGTTGTCCCAGGGGTCATGGGAGGAAAGGGGCCAGCACACGGTTAGTGATGGCGCTGGTTATGGTTCTGGGGGCTGAAGCCTGCTGGGTACCCTGGAGCCAGCCTAGAGCAGGCTCAGCGCATTCCTGCCCGAGGGCTGAGGGAGCCGGGGTGTGGATACGCCGCCTTCTGGCAACCTTTAGCAAACAGCTGCTCCTGAGAAAGGGCTGGGCCTTGACGGCGATTCCCTGGCACTCTGACCTTTTGCGCACAAGCAGATGGGGACAGCTTCCAGCAGAGCGGCAGGTGGGAGCCGGGCCAGAGGGCTCCAGTCAAGGAGGGGGCGCCAGCACCCCTGCATTAGCTTCCTGGGGCTACTGTAACTTGTGGCCGCAGACTGCGTGGCTTAAACCGCAGGAACGTGTTACAGTGCTGGAGGCCAGAGGTCCTCAGCCACGGCGTCGTCAGGATTGGCTCCTTCCGGAGGCTCTCGGGGACCTGCGTCCCCTCCTCTCCCCCAGCTCTGATGGCTGCGGCCTCCTGGGCTCCCAGACCCGTGGCTGCGTTGCCCAATCTGCACCTCCATCTTCACGCCCAATGTCGTGCCCCCCGTTCCCTCCTGGGACCTCAGCAGGAGCGCCTTTAACGGCCGTGTGTCTACCGACCAGCTCTCAGGGCAATCTAGGCTTTTTCTATCAAGTGTTCAGTGTCCAATTCTTTTCCTTTCTTAAGCTATCTCCCCATTTTCAGGTATTTGCTATGGTAGTACCCCACTTCCTGGTATAAAACCTCACACATGGTAATGACAGCCCCACACTGCTCAGGGTTGTGATGGAGAGAAGCAGGGAGTCTGCAGGAGCCCAGAGCAGGCCCCCAGCTCAGCCTGGGAGATCAAGGAGGGCTTCCCAGTGGAGGTGACATTTGAGCGGGCCTTGAAGGATGGGTAGGAGTTGGCAGGTGACAGACAGGCATTCCGAGCCAGGTGTGGGGCCAGGTGGGAAGTTCCCACCGCCGCCAAGAGTCGTCCCCTGGGGGCCTGCAGGTGCTGATGGAGTGGATCAACGCCACTCTCCTCCCAGAGCACATCGTGGTTCGCAGCCTGGAGGAGGACGTGTTCGACGGCCTCATCCTGCACCACCTGTTCCGTAAGTGGCTGCTTCTGGGGCTGCCTGGGCCTCTGCCCCACAGGCGGGCTCCCTCCCTCAGTCCCCACAATAGTCCAGGGTGCAGGGACGCCTGTCTCGCTTTCTAGATGGGCCTGGGCTGGGGAGCTGGGGGCGCTACCTGCGGCCCGGGAGCGAGGGGCTGGGCTGGGGCTCAGGCTGGGGCTCTGACGCCTGGGGTCCTTCCAGCACACCATGCTGCCTCTCCAGTGCTAACTGGGAACCTGCCGTCTTCAGGTGCGGGGAGGCAGCAAAAGAACCCACGGTCCCTGCCCTCCCGCCGCCCCAGGCTGCTGCAGAGAAAATGGGCAGTCTTGGGGGGCTGGGGGCGGGGCTCGGCTCCTGCTGCCGTGTTCCTCCTCAGTCTGGAAAGTTCCAAGGGGCTTTGCAGTGGGTGTTTGTGCCCAGGGCCTCCTCCTGGCCCTGGGCAAGTGCTCCCCACCAGCCCCAGGGTCGCCCGCTTTCCCCTTGTGTGGTCATGTTGGTCTGCACACCTCTTCTGCACAAAACTGTGGTCTTGGAGGCCACGGATAGACCCGATGCCACCTCCTCAGCACCCAGCCTGGGGCGGCCTCTGCAGCATTTCCTGAACTCTTTGCAGATGGGCGATTCCATCCCACGCCTGTGGCTCGCACTTCCGGGCACGGCCCGGGTAGCAGGTGCAGCTCATCCCGAGAACAGCCGGTGCTGTTACTATCCCCATTTCACAGACAGGGAAAGGGAGCCTCTGAAAGTCCTCATAATTTGTCCAAGGTCTCACAGTTAGGGAAGCAGAGGAGTCAGGATATAAAACCAGGAGTGTAGGCTGTAACCACTAGCCCACACTGCCCTGCAGAGACGAAGCGAAACAGCTGTGCAGAAGTCCAAGGGCTGCAGGCCCAGGGTGATCAAGGTGAGGTGGGCTCTCTCAGCCAGCTCAGGGGGCTGAGACTGGCTCACATCACGTGGCCTGCGTGCCCCACCAGTCCTGTTCTGTGTGGATGAGGGTCTCCCGGGAGCTGGGCGGCACACCGGGTTGAGGCTGTGGGTGTGGCCCAGGCCCCAACACCATGTTCCTCCTCAGTCTGGAAAGCTCCAAGGGGCTTTGCAGGCAGGTTCAGCCCCCCGGAGGGGCCCCGAGGCGCTCTCTGGGCTGCCCCCAGCCAAGGGCCCTCACCACCCTCTCCTGCCTCCAGAGAAGCTGGCAGCGCTCAAGCTGGAAGCAGAGGACATCGCCCTGACAGCCGCCAGCCAGAGGCACAAGCTCACAGTGGTGCTGGAGGCCGTGAACCGGAGTCTGCAGCTGGAGGACCGGCAGCCCAAGTGGAGTGTGGAGAGTATGTGGGCTGCGGCCAGCCACCCCGGGGAGCGTGCGGCCACCGGGTCCTTCTGCCCCAGGCATCTCCTGCACCGGGAAGGCGTGCTCATCCTCCTCCCAGCAGGGGCACAACCTGGGAGTGAGGAAGGAGGTGGCAACCTCAGGCAGCCACAGGCAGGCATCTGGCCGAGCAGCCAACGGCCCCGGACATGTCTGTGCCCCAGAGGGTGTCTCTGCAGCAAAGAGCGGCCCAGGATAGCAGACGGTCTCGTGGAGGGTGACAGCCACTGCTGAGCCCCGAGTACCGTGGCCCGCCCATCCACACCCCCATTTCCTTCGAGTACTGGGACATCTGCAGGGCCTGGAAAAAGTGCGTGTGTCTGGCCGGGCGCGGTGGCTCCTGCCCGTTCCAGCACTTTGGGAGGCCGAGGCGGGCAGATCCCCTGAGGTCAGGAGTTCCAGACCGGCCTGGTCAACATGGCGAAACCCCATCTCTATTGAAAATACAAAAATTCGCCAAGTGTGGTGGTGCGCACCTGTGATCTCAGCTGCTCAGGAGGCTGAGGCAGGAGAATCACGTGCACCCGGGAGGCGGAGGTGGCAGTGAGCCGAGATCGCGCCATTGCACTCCGGCCTGGGCGACCAGAGCGAGGCTTCATATCAAAGAAACAACAACAAAAAACAGGGTGTCAAACCCCTGGATCTCCCCACCCCGCCCGGGCCACAGTGCGGCACACGTGTCCTTCCCTTCCATTCTCTGTATCGTCCCCTACCCCAGATGGGAACGGCGAGGCTGAGAGATGTTAAGCAGCTTCTCCCAGGTTGGGCGGTGAGGGCTGATCCCGGGTTTTGCTGGGTCACATGCTCCTGCACCCGCTGCTTTTAAGGTCTCAGATTCAGTGATTCATGTTGATGAAATCAACCCTGAATTAAGTCGCACTGAGCTGAAATCCAGCGATGGCTCAGCCAGGGCCTTACCGTAGGTGAGGTTGCTTCCAGTTGTGGACAGTCTACAGTGACCATCTTTGTGTCCAGAGCTCCTCCCACAAGGCAGACTGTCCCCTGGGGTTATATTCTAAGAAGTAGGATGGCAGAGGCAAAGTGTGATGATTTTTTTTTTTTTTGAGAAGGAGTTTTGTTCTGTCACCCAGGCTGGAGTGCAGTGGCACAATCTCAGCTCACTGCAACCTCTGCCTCCCAGTTTCAAGCAATTCTCCTGCCTCAATCTCCCGAGTAGCTGACACTACAGGCGCATGTCACCACCCCGGCTAATTTGTGTTTTTAGTAGAGACGGGGTTTCACCACATTAGCCAGGATGGTCTCGATCTCGTGACCTTGTGATCCACCCGCCTCAGCTTCCCAAAGTGCTGGGATTAAGGCACGAGCCACTGTGCCCCGCTGAAGTGTGATGATTTTTAGGTTCTGAACATGTGTCCCTAGATCAAGGCCGGACACAGACCTCCTTGGTGTGCAGGTGGTGGTCGTGACGATGAAGAAGGCTCCATTCGGCTGAACGTTTTCGCGCCCCCTGGGCCCTGACCTGTCTCTTCTTTCCTTCCAGCCATCTTCAACAAGGATCTGCTGTCCACCCTGCACCTCCTTGTGGCCCTGGCCAAGCGCTTCCAACCCGACCTGTCCCTCCCAGCCAACGTCCAGGTGGAGGTCATCACCATTGAGGTAGCAGCCTGGGCCCCCAGGGCTTTGTAGGCAGAAGCTGAGCATCTTGGGTCCGCACTGCTGTGCCCTGCGTGGATGGTACTGGCTGGGGTGGGCTGACCCAGGGTGAGTTTCACGGAACCCTGGGACATAGAATCCTGCCAGGACAACCAGGGATGCTGTCTGGGGCTGGGGGTGGGCTGTGAAGAGTCCAGTGGGTCTGGCAGCATGAGAGCTGGGGGCATGAGGAGGTCCCTGGCTGGCCAGCTTCTCTTGACCTCAGCAGAGGGCATTTGGCTCGCAGAGGCTGGGGCCAGGGGCTGTCAGGCCACATCCCTGAGCCATATGTGGCCATCTGTTCATGGCCACGAGGGAGCCTTCACACCCCTGAGGCAAAACCACTGCTCTCACCACAGGATACTATCTCTTGTAGAGAACTGGCAGCTATGACACTGCCTGTTCTCCTCTTTCAGGAAGCCTTTCTGGATTTCTCCACCCCAGATGCTGTCTAGCGTGCGGCCTGCCTGGGCTGTAGTTAATACCTGAGAATCCATGGCTTCTCTCTCCAGACAGACTCTGAGCATCGCAGTAGGGGGCCCCACCAGCTCTTTCCTTCCTCTGAACCCCCGTCCCACCACAGCCTTGGGTTCCTGGTACATAGGGGCTTCCTGTCTGAGAGTGTATTTCTGACTCTCCCCAAGAGGATAAGCCAAGTTTGGCCAAACCCAGTCAAAGTCATATCTACTTTTTTTTTTTTTTTTTTTTTTTCTTCCAGATGGGGTCTTGCTCTATTGCCCAGGCTGGAGTGCAGTGGCACAATCTCAGCTCACTGCAACCTCCACCTCCCCGGCTCAAGTGATCCTCCCACTTCAGCCTCCCAAATAGCTGGGACTACATGTGTGAGCCACTGCACCTGGCTAATTTTTTGCATTTTTTGTAGAGACAGGATTTCACCATGTTGCTCAGGCTGATCTCAAACTCCTGAGCTCAACTGATCCACCTGCCTCAGTCTCCCAAAGTGCTGGGATTACAGGCGTGAGCCACTGCACCCGGCCTTCTACTGGGTTTTAAAACCATTGACTATAATTCCCTACCAAGCAGTTGTGTGGCTTTGTCTGTACTGCCAACATAAATCAGAGGTGACTTCATTGATTCACTCCTTCACCATTCATTTGTTCACAGCCACGTGCTCACTGATGCTGCCCTCCTCCCGCCGTGAGACTCTGGGGATGCCTCAGGGAGTGAGGCCAACACAGTCCCAACCTCAGGACTCCTGGGGACAAAAGACAATTAATCAGGAGGCCATCCTGAGGAGGGGCCGAGGCAGAGCAAGCGGGTCCCTGGGACCGCTCTGGGCCCGAGTTTTCTGGATTATTTAATTTCTTCCCTCCTTATGTTTCTTAGAGCACCAAGAGTGGTCTGAAGTCAGAGAAGTCGATGGAGCAGCTCACTGAATGCAGGTGAGGGCAAGACAAGGGCTGGGGCTGGGGCTCAGCAGTGGACGGGGCAGGTGGGGGGCCGGGCAGATCTGCCTGAGCCTTGCGGGAAGGGCCCTCACGCTCTGGCTTTCCCTCAGACCAGAGAAGCCTGCACCGACTCCTCCATCCCGTGGTAGCACTCAGGGACCCCTTTTGTTCCGGCCTCCACCCTGGTCCCTGCCTGGCCCCTCCCAGCCACCCTGCTTTGCTCTCTGGGGTGGCCCCTGGCTTTGGGACCCAGGACCCAGGGAATCTTAGTCTCTCTAGTCTGAGCAGGATGTGCCTCTGTCTTTGCAAAGCTGTGAGAGTCTTAGAGGCCCCTGCATCGCCAGGGACTGGCCATCTTGCTCCTCACCCACTGGGGTGTGTGGGCGTCCTGCTTTGGGGTGTGGCCATCCTTTTCCCTACCCAGTGGCGGGGCATGGCCATCCTGCGCCCCACCACTGTGGGCGTGGCCACCCTGCTCCCTGCCCACTGTGGGCGTGGCCACCCTGCTCCCTGCCCACTGTGGGCGTGGCCATCCTGCTCCCTGCCCACTGTGGGCGTGGCCATCCGGCTCCCCGCCCACTGTGGGCGTGGCCATCCTGCTCCCTGCCCACTGTGGGCGTGGCCATCCTGCTCTCCGCCCACTGTGGGCGTGGCCATCCTGCTCCCTGCCCACTGTGGGCGTGGCCCTCCCCCTCCCCACCCCCTGGGTCATGGCCACCTGCTGCTGCCTGGCTTCGCTCTGCAGCCGGCTCTGTATGTCTTGTCCAGACAGCTTTCCGCTTTAGTTGGGAGGAGGCTATCAGCAGGAAATTAGATTCCCCTCCCTTACCTAACTTTCATTGAAGGCCTATTATGCGCAGGCATTGGGCTGAATGTTTTCACCCTCACAAAGCGCAGTGAGGTATGGTCAGTTTTCTTTAGCTCGGAGAGGATAGGGGAGTGTCCAGGGCCTCACAGGTGGGGCAGAACTGGGATTCAAACGCAGGACTGGGCTATGCTTGGATGGAGCTGAGGATTGAGGAGGAAGCTGGGCAGAGGGAGTCTAAGAGGACTCAAGACCTTCTAGAAAAACGCATTAAATAGCCTCCCTGTTCTCAGCAGCTGCCGTCTTCCCCCTCCCTCCTGGGTCCCTACTGTCCCCTCAGGTCCTGTGACTGGGCCTGCTCAGGTCTGCCCTCCACGCTCTCTCCCTCCTCCCGTCAAAGTCAGGCACGCTTCCTGTTCTTGGTCCAGGCTCTGTCCTGCTGGACCATCAGGTCCTCTGAGCCAGGCCCAGCACTGCGGGTTCTCAATGCCTGTGTGGCCCTGAGTTCCGGTGTCTCTCCATTAATTGGGGGAGTGAGGCCAAATGCCATCCAACTTTAAAGGTTCTGGATTCTGTGCAGGAGTCTAAGGTTGGCACGTAAGAGCCGCCCAGATCACTCAGTCCACGCGCTGCAGAGAACAGGTGGGGCCTGGAGAAGGATGGGCCCCCGGGGTGACACAGGCTGCCAGCAGGTCCACTTTGCTGTCTTCCATGTGACGCTGGCTATGGCTCAGGCTCAGGGCACAGCTGCTGGGAGCCTCGCTGGTGATATGGCAGCTGTGGGTGGTGCCCAGGATTTCTGACTTCTTGTATAGTTACTGATTGCTGATTAACAAGTTCCCCCAAAACTTTGAAGCTGAAAATGACAGTGAACGTGGATTCTCCTCACAGTTTCTGTGGGCCTGGAGCTCAGGAACAGCTCGGCTGGGTGCTTTGGGCTCAGGATCTCTCACGGGAAAGCAGCCAAGAGGCTGGCCATGGGGGCTGCCATCCACTTAAGGCTTGGCTGGGGCTGGAGTGGTGTGGACGGAACATGGCGTCTGCCCTCCTGGCAGCCTTGGCCCTGTGTGCTGAGCCTGGGTCCCTGTCATAGGCTGCTGGGCTCTGCCCTGTGGGGCCCAGCTCTCTTCTGGAGGGCTCTGGTTGGAGGGATTTCGGCTTCCCTGGACCTACAGAACTCCTTTTCTATGAGGTGGGATGGAGCTAAAAACTTGACCCAAAAAATCAAAGAAAAAATTTTCAAAAACAGTAAAAATGGAGTGAAAGAAGCCAACCCCAAAGAGGACATGTGACCTGGTTTCAGTGACATGATCTACCAGGACAGGCAAAGCCAACAGGAGGGAAGAGCAGTCACGGCTGTGATCAGTGCAGGGGGACACTCGGGTGGCTGGGAGGTTCTGCATCCTGTAAGTGGCGGTGATCACACAGGCGCATGTGTGTAAAACGCACACGCTGTAAGCTTACTTTTGGACTTTAGGATATATGTGATGGATCTGCCTTAGAACAAAACAGGAACCACAAAACCAGCAAAATCCAAAAGTTTCTAGGTGTGGAAGCCTCAGAGAAGGGCATGAACCTATGTCTGCTGTTTGCCTCCCACAAAGACCCTCTCTGCTACCTGCCCTACCTACCAAGCTGCCAGGATAACCATGAACATGCCAGTTGCTTTGCAACCTTGCCAGCACTGACGTTTGTCATGTTGAGAAGCTGCAGGTTGGCAGGGCTTCTTTCTTAACCCTTTGTTTGCTTTTTCCTCCCCCTTCGACGTCTCCTGTAGCACAGACAAGGACCAGCCTCCGAGTGAGTACTCTCATCAATTTTAGAAATCTGTTCCTATCTGATATGTATTAATGCAGATGAGTCTTGATGCAGGGTTGGTTACTTGCTGAGCATTCTCTCCTGTCCTCATCGTCCGCTGTTTGTATCTCAAGCCTCATTCTTATTCATTTGTCCCTCTTTCTGTCTGTCCGTCCACGTAGCTGGCTGCTCCTTCTCATGATACTGTCTCTGGAGGGAGAGAGATTTATCATTGACATGGCCAGTGATGGTGGAGTGTGTGGGCTCTGGAGTCAGTGGCCTGGGTTCAAACACCACTTTTCCCACTCATGAGCCACTTAAGCTTGGGCAGTTGTCCTCACTTGTCCTAAGGTGTCCTCATCTATAAAATGACCCTGACCCTGACCTTTTAAACTGGCAGCGAGGGTTGAAGGAGATCATCTGTGAGTGCGTTCAGCATGTGGGTAGTGCTCAATAGTGAGTGGGCAGTAATGTGGCTTCTGCCCTTCTGACAGAGCTGTTCGCCAATTGGTTGATTTATCTAGTTACTTCTTTCATTCATCCCTTCCTTCCTCAGTAATCTGGCCAGCTCTTCTCCATCCATCCATTCATTTATCCATCTATCGATCAATCCATCTATCCATCCATTCTTCCATTCATCTATCTGCTCACCCCCCCATCCACCCACCCATCTATCCATCCATCCATCCAGTCACTCACCTATCCACCTACCCATCCATCCATCCATCCATCCATCCATCCATCCATCCCTCCCTCCATTCATCTATCCAGTCACCCACCTGTCCATCCATCCATCCAGTCACTCACCTATCCATCCACCCACCCATCCATTTATCCATCTCTCTATCCATTCCTGCCTCTCTTCATCCATCCACCTACCCATCCATCCATCCATCCATCCATCCATCCATCCATCCCTCCCTCCATTCATCTATCCAGTCACCCACCTATCCATCCATCCATCCAGTCACTCACCTATCCATCCACCCACCCATCCACTTTTCCATCCCTCCATCCATCCATTGATGCCTCTATTCATCTATCCACCTACCCATCCATCATCTATCCATCCACCCAGTCCATGTAACTGTCCAGCCACCCAACCATCCATCCATTCATCAATCCACCCATCCACCCATCCATCCATCCGTTCATCTATCTACACATCCAGCCGCCTATCTGTTCGCCCATATCCGTCCATCCCCCACTACTTGTTCTCCCTTCACACTCCCCACTTAGACACAGGGCTCTGTGGGCAGGGCCACTATGAGGAGCGTCTCACCTGCAGAGACAGAGACACTGACCTGCCAGGAAAGTGAGTAGCCTCTGAGAATGGGGGCTGACGGAGACTGAGTTTTGGGAGAAAGAAGTGGGGGGCAAGGAGGGCTGGCTGGGGATCTGTGTTTGCAGGGGGAGGGGCAGCCTGAGGACATGAAGGGTTGCTCAGGAGCAGTATTTTGGGCAGGGGGCAGCATGAAGCGGGTGTCACAGGGCGGAGAAAGGACACAAAACAGGCTCTCATTTCCTGGCTCCTTCAGTGATGCGATTTCCCTGACCAAGGATGTTTCTACCATGTCGATTGTCACCTGGTTTCCGGGGACTTTAACGTGCACGATGCTGTTTGGTGCCACTTTCCCCCCTTCACGAACAAGTGAACCGAAGCACAGAGAGGTGCTGTGATTTGCTTAGAGTCACACAGCTCCTGAGTGGCAGAAGAAGCCACAGACAAACTTAAGCCAGTCTGTGTATTTGGTGCCCGAGGACCGGTGTCCCCCTGGGAGGAGAGCTAGCTGCAGATAGCAGGAACCCAGCTTGTGCACAAAGGGCATTAGCCACGGGGCACCCAAGGCTGGGTCCCGGGGCCTGAGCCGCTGTTCCCGGACTCCAAGGGAGTCACTGAGTTGCTGAGAGAGCTGGCCTTTTGCAGTCCGCAGGTTCAGACACTCTTGGGGGTGGGGCAGGGTGGGGTGAGAGGTGGGCAGTGGGGAAGAGTCCTTACTCCGCCAATTGAAAAGCCAGGGGAGGGGACTCATGGAAGTAGCGTCAGCCCCAGGCTGGCCCCAGCACCCACCTGTAGCAGCTCCTGGGCGCCGGGGAGGCGAGCAGGGCCCGGGGAGGAGGGAGGGCCAGCTGGCAGAGGAAGGGGTGCAGCTGTGCCTACACTGTAACAAGTGCCAGCTGCAGGAAGAGCAGCTGTTTTCTGAAGTCCTACTGTGTGCTCAGTCATCATGCTGCTGGGCCAGGTGTGTTATCTGCTATCAAACAATTCCGTCTCTGCAACGACTCCAGCTAGGGAGGCAGAGGGAGGGAAGGCGAATCCCTCCGGGGGCACACGGCCAGGGGAGCAGTGACTCAAATCCAAGTCGGTTTTATGTGAGAACCATGATCTAAGTCGGCAGCTCCCTCTGGACTGGTTATTCTAAGAAACTTTTGTGAAAAAAATTCCCTGTTTGGCACCAAGATAATAGCATCGTAATGAGGTGTTTATTGGATCTGTGTCTGCAGAGGACGTCTTTGATGAATTATTTAAGCTGGCTCCGGAGAAAGTGAACGCAGTGAAAGAGGTAGGAGAGATCAAACCTCCCAGCGGCTCTCGGGCCGCCCACCCCACCCCACCCACTGCCCACCTGCGCCGTAGGAGGGAATCACGGGTCCTCGTGCCACACCTGCGGCCTGCTAGGCCCTTGTTCTTTCTTGGTTAGGCCATCGTGAACTTTGTCAACCAGAAGCTGGACCGCCTGGGCCTGTCTGTGCAGAATCTGGACACCCAGGTAGGGACTCGGCGGCGTCTCCAGGCAGGGCAGGGCCACTGGCCACAGGAAGGAAAGTGCGCGCCCTAGAAACCCGCTGTGTGGTGGTGGGGGTTGCATCGCCTCTTGGAGCCTCTGGGTCCCCCTCCCCAGTGTGACTGCCGCTGGCAGGCAGCACTGGCCACCAGGGACACGGCAGAATCCCGGGGGCGGGGGCGTGGGAACACTTCACCAAGCTGGAGTCACCTCGGCTGTCGCTGCTTCTCATTGTTATAATTTTATTTCATAATTAATCTTAGCCTAGCCCATGCCCAGACTTGAAGCACGTGAGTCTTCCCTGCGTGGTCGTGTTCGCCCAAACAGAATTTATTAGGTTGGTGCCATGTGCCAGGCGTAGGTGACAATGAAGGCCCGCCGTCTGCAGGCTGTGCGTCTCTCACGAGCACCCCGAGGAGCCCAGCCCTCCCCTGGCTGCCTTGGGCCGAATCGTCCCAGGCGCAGAAGCTCAGGGGTCGGCACTCACCGTGGGCTGTGGCTTTCCACAGTGGCACTGTGCCCGCAATGCAAGGGACGGGGGCCGAGGAGCAGAGTGGCCAGCTGCCAGCCCGGCGCCCACAGAGTGGGCATGGAGTCTGCTGGATGCCAGTGGTCTCAATGGGACATGACGTAGGCATCTAGCCACCTGGTTCTGCTGGGTGCTGGGGCCTGGGGTGGGGAGGGAGTCTGGTCCCAGATGGACCCGTTGGCTCATGAAGAAAGTAGCCAGAGCTGCTGACCTCTCAGAGGCTCTGGATGGGCGTGGGCTGGGGAGGGAGGGGGCCGATAGACCCCCACTCCCAGTAGCTAAAACCAATAAAGCCCTTACTAGGTACCAGCCCCTCAGCAAAATGCTTCCTACATTAACTCGTTGAATTCTTCCCCAAATCCCCTGAAGTAGGAACTGTATTACCTCACTTACAGAGGAGGATGTTAAGGCACAGAGAGGTTAATTAACTTGTCTAAGGTCACACAGTGATATGTATTGGATCTGGGATTTGAACCCAGGCAGCTGGGGCCAGAGTTTGTGCTTATAACCACCTCACATGTGGCCACGTGAGAAGTCTGTGTGTGAGAGGGTGTGGCAGCGTGGCAGGGTGGAAGTACCAGACTTTGAAGCCAGACAGACACCCATTTCCCTCCTGCCTGCACCAGGGATGGCCCCTGGGCTCTGCTGATACCCCTCCACGTTTGCTGTGTGACCTTGGGTGAGTTACTGGTCTTCTCTGAACCTCAGGCCCCTCTTATAAAGTGGGTGCAAGATGGCAGCCTCACAGAATTGTAAGTGGTACATGAGCCGGTAAGCCCCACGTGTTTGGTCTATTACTTGGCACGCTGCCGGCGTGAAATAAATGAGGGATTTGCAGGTTGATTATATTTCATGCGGGTATAAACAGGATGATTTCTGAGATTTACATACTACCTATTCCATCTTTATCTCCCGCTTGGTAAAATAATGGCTTTGGATATTCATGGCATGTGCGAAGTTGGCATTTAGAGACTGTTCAATAAAACGGGGTGAGGAATTCCCTTGCATTCCTGTTGTATTACTGAGGAATAATGGCAGGAAAGATTTCAGGCCCAAACTAATAACATTGAAACAGACGTAATAGGAGGAAATTCCATTAAGGGCTTTGAATGGCGGTTTCTTCCAATATCCCATCCTGGGTTTTGTGTCTTTGAAGAGACTCAATAGGATTATATTAGCATAGGATGTGCTGGTGGTAGGGACGGCAGCTTTATCTCGGAACGGACAGAAATATTAATATGGCAGCTGGCAAGATGGGCCCCGTGTGCCGCTCTCTGCCTTTCCCTGATGGAATAATTTTACATGTAACTCTGTTTTCCTGCGTTTCTGTGGCTTGTGGAACAGCGTGGTGTTTAAAAACGGGCATGAGGCTATTGTACAGCGAGTTTAGGAAACACTCCTTTTACTGAGCACACACTATGTACCAGGTAGCCTGAAACCGCATTTTACCTGCAACGCTGTGAGGCCAGGAAAGTCTTCCCCACTTCTCACCAAGGCACCAGAGGCTCAGAGAAGTTGTGTGATTTCCGTAGGACCACACAGCCTGTAAAAGACAGAGTGGGTCTCCCCAGGCTTCTTCCAAATCATGGCCTCCTGCTCCTTCCTTTGTAGTTTGCAGATGGGGTCATCTTACTCTTGCTGATTGGACAACTTGAAGGCTTCTTCCTGCACTTAAAGGAATTCTATCTCACGCCCAGCTCTCCCGCAGAAATGGTAAGCTCTCCTAAGATTCTTCTTGATTGTCTACCTCTGGGTGAACAGATAAACGGAAATGACATGACACGTGTGTTTATTCAGTTCCAGGTGAAGTGAAGGGTGTAGGGGAAGCTTGTTTATCTATGTCTACCTGTCCACCCATCCATCCACCCATTCACCAATCCATCCACCTATATACCTATCCATCCATTCACCAATCCATCCATCCACCCATCCATCCATCCACCCACCCATCCACCTATCCGTCCCCCATCCATCTATCCACCCACCCATTCACCTATCCATCCACCAATATACCTATCCATCCACTCACCCATCCATCCACCCACCTATCCACCTATCCATCCACCCATCCATCCATCCATCCACCCATCCGTCCACCCATTCACCGATCCATCCACCTATATACCTATCCATCCATTCACCCATCCATCCACCTATCCATCCACCAATATACCTATCCATCCACTCACCCATCCACCTATCCATCCATCCATCCATCCATCCACCCATCTGTCCACCCATTCACCGATCCATCCACCTATATACCTATCCATCCGTCCACCCATCCATCCATCCATCCACCCATCCACCCATCCATCCATCCATCCATCCACCCATCCATCCATCCATCCATCCACCCACCCACGCACCCACCTACCTGTCCATCTACCTGCCTGCCTGTCTACCCGTGCACAGGAAGTTTCTTTATCTATATGTCTTTCTGGCCATCGATTCATCTTCCACCTGCCTACCTGTGCATCCACCTGCTTCTCCATTCATGCATCCATTTGGCTGTCCTCCAATCCATCTTCCCGTCCTGTTGATTTCTGCACCCAATCCATCCATACACCTGCCTGCCCATCCGCCCACCTGCTCATGTACCCGTCTCCTACCCACACACCTGCTCCCTCATTCCCTGAGGGCCTGCTTCTGCTTAGTGCCAGCCCTGAGCTGCAGGGGACATTAAGATGATCCAACACAGCTCCTGTTTTCAGGGACCTCTCTGTCTATACCCACTGTTCTCCCACTGATGTGAGCTCTTGCAGGACCACAGTGAAATATGTTGGTTCAGATGCATGGTTCAGAGGAGGGGCCTGGGAGAATGAGAGCTTAGTATAATCTCAAGGAGTCCGGAAGGGCATTGGCTCAGAGGTGAGCCGGGAGGTTGATGAGGGATTGGTTTGCAGAGTTATTGAGGAAGGGCTCCCAGAGGGGAGGGAACAGCATCGGCAAAGCCTCAGAGCGGGGCACAAACAGGGATGGGTCAGCGAAGCGTCGGTGCTCCCCTCCGGCTGCAGGAGCTGGAAGGGTGGGGCCTGAGCTGGGGGGATCAGGAGTTCCCACGTGGACCCTGGAGGCTGGTGGGGTGGCTGGGAGCCGCCTGCCTGCCTGGAGACACCAGGGCTGAGGCATGACTTGGGGAAGAGGGCTGGAGAGAGTGATGAAGCTGAGGGAGACTGAGGTAAGGTGGGAGGGCAGGTGAGCTTGCAAACTCTCAGCTCCCACCGCCTCTTCCCCAGCTGCAGCCTTCAGTGCCCGCCGGCTGGTCCTGCCTCCACCCCCACGACTTCCTTGAGCTCACTGGGCTCTCCCACCTCTGGGCTTTGGCACAGGCTGTTCCCCTGCCAGGAATGCCCTTCCTACTGGTAGACCTGGCCCATGAGAAGGGATTTGCACTATTTTCCAAGCAAGGAAACAGAGGTCCATGGTAGGGGGCCGAGGCTTACCCTGGGTCACTACCAGGCGAGAGACCTGGGTCTCAGGCTCTCCACCAGCAGCTCCTTCCTGCCTGGGCCTCAGGTTTTCTGTCTCTGAAATGGGCTGACAGTCCCTGCCCCCGACCCAGGACCCACAGGTAGTAAGAAGGAGTTTGGAGAACCGTCAAGCAGGAAGCATTGAAGGACGTGAGGTCCCTAGTCCCCTCAGCCTCGCCCCCTCCAGGAGGTGACATTGCAGGTGTGCAGCCTCCATCCATGCCTCCAATGGACAGGCCGGAGTGCTGGCGGCTGGTGGCGTGCCCAGGATCCCGGGCGGCCAGCTTATCTCTGTCCATGCCGGTGGCCCAGGACGGGAGGATCTCTTTCTCTCTCTGCAGCAGTAGCTTTTTCTAAAGAGGCGAAACATCAGGCAGGGCTGCATGCCCAGGGCCAGGCTTCGGGGCGATTTCTGAGGGAGACAAAGGCTTTTTTCTTGTTTTGTGTTTTTTTGGTCCCTTTCACATGCCCAGGGCGTCCCTGGCACTGGATCAGGCCTCTTGGCCTACCTGGGGCCCAGTAGCAGGTGAGGTCCCTGCTGGGCCCCTGCCAGACTCCCCCGTTTACTGGTCCCTTCTTCCAGGCCCCTCCCCTCGGCCCCTCCTGCCCTCCTGCCCCTGGGCCTCTTCCCTGCTTCAGGTGCAGCATCCGCCTGCCAGGCCCCATCCACTTCCCCAGCCACGTCCCCTCCTCCCGTCCTGCCGACTCCCAGCCACAGTCGCGTGCCGCAGCCACGTGACCCCTGGCCCCGCTTCCAGCTCTCCAGGGCCCGGCCCTCCCCGAGTCCCTCGCATCCACCCAGGCGGTGCTCTCAGCCCAGCCTACCCCGGCTTTGCTTCCCACCTTCTTCCCCGGGCGGGCGGCCAGCTCTGCCCACCTTCTCAGCTCCTCTGCCGTCCCCCGGCGCTCTGTGGGGCCCTGAACCGTGGTCCACACCCCGTTGGGGTTAGGCCCCTGCACATAGAGTCTCCCGGCCCTCTCCCCCGTCACCCTCCCTCCATGCCCTGTGAGGGCGGGGCAGGGTTGCATCTCCATTTTACAGAGGGGAGCCCAGGGCGGAGGGGCTTCACCAGGACCACCTTGCTGCTCAGTGGCAGCCTCACACCAGGACGGGCCTGCCGTGTCCCTCGACCCCACAGGAATGTGTCTTGGGTGTGGCCTCCACCTTCCCTGGAGGCCGGGGTGCTCCGACTTGGTTCCCAAGAGCTGGGCTGTTGGGTCAGAGCAGTGAAGCCGTGGCAGCCAGTGTCTGTGGTCCCGGGTCGTGGCAGGCACCGTGGCAGCTGCTTCTTAGGTTCTGCCATTCAGAGGTACCACGTCAGCCAGCCGTTGCCACAAACGTGCTTCCTACCAAACCACCCAAAATCCCAGGGGCTGAAAGCCACACTCATCTCTTCCCACGGACCAGCAGGTCAGCTGAGTTTAGCTGCCAGAGGCTCAGCTGGGCTTTGTCACTCCTCCGTGGACTGGATGGAGAGCTGCCGTGGCTGGGTGGCTCGGCTCTGTGCCACAGCCTGCCACGCTCCTCCTGGGACTGGCGGCTGACCTGGGCATACTTTCCTCCTGGCAACAGCAGACACACGAGAGACCAGGCATGAGGCAGGAGGCCCTGGCTTGGAATGGGCAGGCCGCCACTGCGGAGCGGGTCCTGTGGCCTTGGTGGTGACGCGTGTGGGTGCGGAACTGGGCTGGTGGGGTGATCACCCGCATGCAGCGTGAACGAACGTGCTGGCAGATCCTCGCGTTGGGTCTTGGAGTTAGGAACTCTTCCCATCCCGATTTCCGCAGAGAAAACAGTTCAGAGAGGCACCGATGTCTGGCCCAGAGCACACGGCGAGTTGGGGTCCCCCCTGTGGTCCTCCTGAGCCCCTTGGGAGATGGGGGGGTGCCAGGGCTCAGGGGGTTGAAGCCAAGGCTGAGAGTGGGGTCAGAGCCTGGCTCGAGAAGGCACTGAGGTGTGCGCGGTGAGGGAGGGGCAGCCGGGACCACCTGCCGGGTGAGGGCCGGGCTCAGAGCCCAGCGGGGAGCCGCTCCGGGGTGCCCCGCGCCCGCCGGCCTCTGCTCAGTTTGTTGCACCGTCCAAGCCCCAGTGACAAGCCGGGAACAAACACGCTGACTTCCATGTCGCTGTGAGCAGCCGCGTTGCTGAATCCACTGATTTTAGAACCTGCTTCTGAATATGAGTCAGATTCGATGTGGGGGAAGAGCAGCCGCCTCTGAGCTCAGACCCCGAGAATGAATCTTGACAGCGCATTGTGGGCAGTGTCTGCCGCAGGAGCGCGGAGTCGGAATGCTGAAGAGGCCGCGGCTGCGGGGGCGCGCGGCAGCCCTGCGGAAGGTGGGCACCTGTGGGATCCTCGGCGTGGCGGAGCGGCCTCTCGAAATCGGCTTTCTCATGATCAGACCTTCTTTGCCAGTGGCGTTTACGGGAGCTAGTCATTCATTTTGGGCAGAGGAGTTAGGGATGGAGGGAGAGAGGGGATCCTTTGCTTCCAGAAATGGAATCCCTGGAGCCGGGACTCCTTGGCATCCTTCTATATTCTGTTAGGTTTCCCCAGGAGCGTTTGAATTCGTCCTCCGGGGTTGCGACGTCCCCTCGGCCCCGGGGAAGAGCGTAGTTTTAGCTTCGTCATCTCAAATCGCACACAGAAGAAAAATCTTTGGGCAGAGCCTGGGGAGAGAGCTCTGGAGCCAGGCCCAGCTCTGCCGGGAGAGGGTCTTTTGTTCAGAGTGAGTGTCATTGAGGAAGAGTGTGACAGACAGAAGCCGATGTCATAGCTTTCAGTGTCGATGGCAATTCCCAAAGCGTAAACTCCATGAGGGCAGGGGCCTGGTCTGTCCTGGGCACTACCTGCCTGGCCAGCACATAGCAGATGACAGACCTTTTTTCGATCAGTAAATGAACAGTGTTTCCAAAACACTGGTCCCAGGAGGTGCTCTGTGACACATGGGTCCTGTGAATAAATAGCATGCCTGTTCTTGAAGGTTTGTAAGACCCACTGACACGTCCAAGGCTCTGATAAGTCCTGCAGCGAAGGAATTCCATGTTATTTTATTTAACCCAACAGTTTCCAAAGATGTTTGGCCTCAGATCCCTTTGCTGTGCATCCCAGATCACACGTTGGGAGACGCTGGCTCACTGAGTCTATCAGAGGCGGGGCTTTGAGGCAGGAGAGCACAGTGTGGAGGCCACAACCTCAGGGTCCTCGGGATCTTGATCTCCAACATTCACCCTCCGTGGAACTGCAAATAATATTCATGATGAGAACGTCAGCAACAGCTGCAACCCTAGCTTTCCAGAAGATTCCAGTGTAGGGGGAGGAACCGGGGACACAGTGACGGAGCTCTCAGTGGCACCGCTGCCTGCAGCATGGGCACCGTGTGATAGCTTTTGTTTCTTCATCTCCTTTTTTTCTTTCTTTTTGTTTTGAGATTGAGTTTCACTCCTGTCGCCCAGGCTGGAGTGCAGTGCTGCGATCTCGGCTCACTGCAACCTCCTCTTCCCGGTTTCTTGCCTCAGCCTGTCAAGTAGCTGGGATCAGAGACACATGCCATCGAGCCTGGCCGATTTTTGTATTTTTAGTAGAGATGGGGTTTCACCATGTTGGCCAGGCTGGTCTCGAACTCCTGACCTCAAGTGATCTGCCCACTTTGGCCTCCCAAAGTGCTGGGATTATAGGCGTGAGCCTCCGTGCCTGGCCTGTTTCCTCTTGCTGAGCGACTGACTATACAGGAGCGGCCGTGCTGCTGCTGGGTGCCCACCCATGCCCTCCTTCCTGTCTGGGACCCACCTTCCACCTTCGTATCCCCAAGTGGAGAGGGACTCTGCTCACCCACTTCCAGCTCCTGTGCCTTCATCATCTTCACCTTCAGATCCTGCTCTGCGGCTTCAGTTCAGTGTCTGTCATCACTCTGGACACACATGCCAGCCTTGGAGAGGGAGGCTGACAGAGGCGTCATCCCCATGACGCAGATGAGGCAGCTGAGGCCCAGCCAGGATGTGTGACTTGTCCGAGGCCAGACACTTAGTGGCGGGATGGGGGTGGCGGGACACAGACAGCCACGCTGGATCCCAAGAGTCCTGTTGCTGTGGCCCTCTAGAAGGTGGCTGGAGGTGGCCTGGGCCAGGATGGCATTTCCTAATGAGTCTTGCCTGGCCTTGCTCACCCAACGCTCAGCCAACCTGGCCTTTTGGCCCCTGGCTGGGTTGCCATGGGAACTGCCCTGCCCTAGTGGGGCTGGCATGACCAGGCAGATACGGAGGGAAAGGGACCAGGCATGGCTGACCCCGGGACTGGGAAGTCCAGGCCTACTGTGGATCTACGGGTGGCTGGGGCGTCAAGGGGAGGGCCTGTTTGAAGTCACACGGTGAACCAGGAGCTCGTCCCTCTTCAGCCACACACCAGGCTGCTGCTCTCAGGCAAAGGGCTGGGCTCTGCTGGGCTTGGACCTGAGGCCCAAGGGAGAAGCCAGAATGGAAAGGGAGGGCACCCGCCGCAGGAGGGCCGGCAGGGCTCCGGGACTCTCCCTGCCGCCTGGAGCGAGGCCCCCGGGCACTGCGGTAGCCACTTCGCAAGTGAGCGAGGGGAGGCCCCGGGCGGGGACTGTGCCGGGCTCTGAACCCCTCGGGGACCCGACAGATGCCCGACGCCCTCCACCCTACAGGGAGCTGTGTCTGAGACCGCAGCCCCGGCGAGGGATGACTGGAAGGACAGCCACCCGGGTGGGGGCCGCTCCAGTCTCTAGCCTGCTTTGCTGGGCGCTGGAGTGGACAGACCTGGTTCCCGCACATTGTGTCTCGTGAGCTCCAGCGAGCCCCTTCAGTCCTCCGAGCCTCCATTTCCTCGCTGTGCTTTGCCCTGGGAAATGGCTGTTCTCAAAGGGGCTCTGCCACCCCTGGGCCCTTGCTCCTTTCCCTGGGTAGTTCTCCTTGCCTGGCAGGATGCACCACTGGGTGACACCTCCACCAGGAAGCCTTCCTTGATTCCGCCTGGGTATCGTCCTTGGTGTCTGCCTTTTTCACTGACGCTGGCCCCTGGACGCATGTGTGTGCCCGGTGCGGTATAGCGTCTGCTCAGAGTGGGGCCTGAGAGTGGCTGGGGAATGAGGCGTGCATGTCTTGTGTGACGGAGAGAGTTCCCCGTCCGTGGGGGCTGTAGGGAGATGCTGGGTGAGCATGGATTGTGGTCGTGGCCAGGGATGCCCACCCTGGATGGGACTTTGGGCTCGCGACGGACGTCACAGACAACAGGAAGGGCTTGGCACCGGGGACCCAGGGCCTGGGCTGGGGATGATCCTTGTGCCCACATCTGATGGGGCCTTCTCACCACAGCTGCACAACGTCACCCTGGCGCTGGAGCTGCTGAAGGAGGAGGGTCTGCTTAGCTGCCCCGTCAGCCCTGAAGGTGAGTGTGTGGCAGATGCCCACGCGGTGGGCAGCCTCGTGCGGGAGACACAGAACAGGGTGCAGGGCGTCAGGGATGAGCACGCGTTGGCAGAGTCTTCTTGCCCGACAGGAGTGGAGAAGGGGCACTGGCCAAGGATTCCTGGGTGGGGGCGCTGCAGCAGCGGGGGGAGGTCCTGGGGAGGGGGGTCCGGGGTCTCTGGGGACAGGCTGTCCAGAGAAGCCAGGCCTTGAGGAGCTGCTGTGTTGGGGGCACCCCAGGAGGGCTCAGGGGAGGACTGCCCAGGAGGAGGTGGCAGGTCGTGCAGCGGGCGCCGGACTCGGGCCTGCAGTGACCAGCTGTCCTGGCTTCCAGGGATTCTCCTGGTGTTAGCACTGAAATCCTGAATGCCAGGAAACCCCTCAGTGCAGGGCACTCTGGGATGGCGGGTCACTGCCACCCAGACCTGACCGGCTGCCCTGCCCTCCTCTGGTCCGCAGACATCGTGAACAAGGACGCCAAGAGCACTCTGCGGGTGCTGTACGGCCTGTTCTGCAAGCACAGACAGCAGGCACACAGGGGCACGACGCCCCAGGGAGCCCCGAATTGACCCTCGTCGGCCCCACAGCCTGCCTGCAAGCCCAGTCGGAGGCTCCGAGGCTGCAGGGGTCCTCCCACAGTCCCACTGTTCTCTGTGTGTTCGCGACCCATTTCCCTCCCACCCCACCTCCTGTCTCCGTCATCGGATTATCTTTGAACCCCCTCGAGTGGATCATGTTGAGCTGCCTGGCCTTGCTCAGTTTATTTTAATAAAAGTATTGCTGGCCAGACGCGGTGGCTCACGCCTGTAATCCCAGCACTTCAGGGGGCTGAGGTGGGCAGATCACGAGGTCAGGAGTTCGAGACCAGCCTGGCCAACATGGTGAAACCCCGTTTCTACTAAAAATACAAAAATCAGCTGGGTGTGGTGGCGGGCACCTGTAATCCCAGCTACTTGGGAGGCTGAGGCAGGAGAATTGCTTGATCCTGGGAGGCGGAGGTTGTAGTGAGCCAAGACTATACTACTGCAATCCAGCCTTGGCAACAGAGTGAGACTCTGTCTCAAAAAAATTAAAAAAAGAGTGTATCTGGGAGGGATTCTGGGAACTTGCCAGGGTCCCGGGGACCATCGTTTCTTATATCACCAATCCATGGCTTTAGTAAACATCATTATATGAGCACATGCAGTTTGTGTATGCATTGGCCAGCTGATGGCCCTTTGGGGTTCTTTTTGGGTTTTGGTTTTTATAAGTGGCATTGGCATTCATGTTCAAGTCTTGGCGTGGGCCTAAGTTTTTGTTTTTCCTGGGTAAGTATCTAAGACTGATGTGGCTGGGTCATTATTAGTTATATTAGTGTATGTTTTACTTTATAAGAAATAGCCAACTAGGTGGAGTGCATTTGCTCACGCCTATAATCCCAGCACTTTGGGAGGCTGAGGCAGGCAGATCACCTGAGATCAGGAGTTTGAGACCAGCCTGGCCAACATCTAACATGGTGAAATACCGTCTCTATGAAAAATATACAAATTAGCCAGGTATGGTGGTGGCCCCTGTAATCCCAGCTACTTGGGAGGCTGAGGCAGGAGAATCACTTGAACCCGGGAGGTAAAAGTTGCAGCGAACTAAAATCGTGTCACTGCACTTCAGCCTGGGCAATAGAGCAAGACTTTGCACAAAGAAAGGAAGGAGGGAGGGGGGAAGGAAGGCGAGAAGGATGGAGGGAAGGAGAGAGACTGCCAGCTGTATTCCAAAGTAAATGTACTATTTGCATTTCCACCAGCAAGGTTTGAGAGTTCCAGTTGCTCTGCTTTCTTGTCAACACTTGGTATTGTCCATCTTTTCCATTTTAGTCATTCTGGAGCGTACAATGGTATCACATTGTGGTTTTAAATATATTTCCCTAATGACTCGTGGTACTGAGTGTGTGTGTTAGTCAGCTTGAGCTGCAGAATACCATAGAGATTGATTTCTTATAGTTGAGAAGGCTGGTAAATTCAAGATCAAGGTGCTAGCAGATTTGGCTCCGGGTGACGCTCTCTTCCTGGTATGCAGATGGCTTCCTTCTCTCAGTCCTCACAAGGTCAAGGGTGGAAGGAGAGCACGCGAGAGAGACAGGAGAGAATAAGAGTATCAGAGCACTCTGCTGCTCCTGCTCCTCCTCCTCCTCCTCCTCCCCCTCCCCCCTCCTCCTCCCCCTCCCTCCTCCTTTCTCCTCCTTCCCCTTCCTCCTTTCTTCATTCTTCTTCTTCTTCCTCCTTCTTCCTCTTTCTTTTTCTACTTCTTTCTTCTTCTTCTTTTTCTTTCTTTTTTTTTCTGAGACAGTCTCTCTCTCTGTCGTCCAGGCTGGAGTGCAGTGGCACAATCTTGGCTCACTGCAACCTTTGCCTCCCAGTTCAAGCGATTCACCTGCCTCAGCCTCCCAAGTAGCTCGGACTACAGGCACATGCCACCACACCTGGCTAGTTTGTTTGTTTGTCTGTATTTTTGTAGTAGAGACGGGTTTTTACTGTGTTAGCCAGGGTGGTCTTGATCTCCTGACCTCGTGATCTGCCCACTTCGGTCTCCCAAAGTGCTGGGATTATAGGCGTGAGCCCCTGCTCCCAGCCTGCTTCCTCTTATAAGAAAATGAATCCCGTCCTGAGGCCCTATCCTCATGACCTCATCTGACCCTAATCACCTCCCAGAGGCCCTACCTCCAAATACCACTACACTGGGGGTTAGAGGTCCAACGTGTAATTTTGAGGGGACATAAACATTTAGTCCATAACACCATCTTTTCATCTACATTGCCATCTGTGGTATCTTTGGTAAAGTGTCTGTTCGAATCATTTGCCTTTTTAAAAAATCTGGAACCAGTTTTGTAATTTGAGCTCTTATATTTAGGTCTATGATTCATCTTGAGTTAATCTTTGTATATGGGTTGAAGTAACAGGTCATTTTCTTTTCTTTCTTTCTTTGTTTTATTTTTAACATATAGATGCCTAATTGTTCTAGTACTATTCATGTAAAGATTTTCCTTTCCTCATCAAATCACATTGGCATCTTTATCAAAACTAAATTTGCGGCCGGGCGCGGTGGCTCAAGCCTGTCATCCCAGCACTTTGGGAGGCCGAGGCGGGTGGATCACGAGGTCAAGAGATCGAGACCATCCTGGTCAACATGGTGAAACCCCGTCTCTACTAAAAATACAAAAAATTAGCTGGGCATGGTGGCACATGCCTGTAATCCCAGGTACTCGGGAGGCTGAGGCAGGAGAATTGCCTGAACCCAGGAGGCAGAGGTTGTGGTGAGCCGAGATCGCGCCATTGCACTCCAGCCTGGGTAACAAGAGCGAAACTCCGTCTCAAAAAAAAAACAAAAAAAAAAAACAAAAAAAAACTAAATTTGCCATATATATATATATATATATATATATATATATATATATATGTATGTATTTCAGTAGATTTCTGGACTCTCTATTCTGTTGTATTGATCTGTGCAATGTATATCTTTATGTGAATATGCGTATTTTTATGCCAGAACTATAGTCTCGTGATTACTCATGGTTTATTATAAGTTTTGAAACCAGGTAGTATAAAGATGGAGTCTTGCTCTATCCAGGTGGATCACCTGAGGTCAGGAGTTTGAAACCAGCCTGGGTAACATGGTGAAACGCCATCTCTACTAAAAATACAGAAATCCAATTTTGTTCTTCATTTTAAAAAATTATTTTAGGGAGCCGCGGTGGCTCTGGCCGGTTGTCCTGGCGCTTGAGGAGGCGAGGCTATGCGTTCAAGGCCAACCTGGGCAAAATAAAAACCTCTCATTCACTAAAAGAAAATTATTTTGGTTCTTCTAGGCATTTTTGCTTCTTTTAATTTCTACATAACATTTAGAATCAGTTTGTCATTTTCTGCAAAAAACCCTGCTGAAATTTTGATTGGAATTGTGGTCTTTAGATGAAATTGGGGAAAACTGACGTCTTGAAAATATTGGGGAGCTCAGATCATTGATTTGAGAACGTTCTTCTTTTATAATATAAACATTTAATGCTATATATTTTTTCTTTCTTTTTTTTTTTTTTTTTTTTTTTTTTGAGATGGAGTTTCGCTCTTGTTACCCAGGCTGGAGTGCAGTGGCACGATCTCGGCTCACCGCAACCTCCGCCTCCTGGGTTCAGGCAATTCTCCTGCCTCAGCCTCCTGAGTAGCTGGGATCACAGGCACGCGCCACCACGCCCAGCTAATTTTTTGTATTTTTAGTCAAGACAGGGTTTCACCATGTTGACCAGGATGGTCTCAATGTCTCGACCTCGTGATCCACCCACCTCGGCCTCCCAAAAGTGCTGGGATTACGGGCTTGAGCCACCGCGCCCGGCCAATGCTATATATTTTTTCTAAGCACAGCTTTAGTTGCGTCCCCAAATACTAATATGTTGTGTTTTCACCTTCATGAAGTTCAAAATATCTTCTAATTTCAAATGAGACTTCCTTTTTCACTCATGGATTATTTAAAAGTGTATAATTTCCAAATATTTTGGGATTTTTTTCCCAGCTATCTTTTGGCATTGGGTCTTGTTGTGGTCAGAGAACATACTTTGTATGATTTAAATCATTTAAAATACGTTATGATTTGTTTTATGTACTGGATTATGGTCTATCTTGGTAGACGTTCTGTATACACTTGGAAAAAGAGTGTGTGCTCTGCTGTTGTTGGACACAATGTTTCATAAATGTCAGTTAGGTCAAGTTGGTGGGGTTCAGATCTTCTATATCCTTACTAATTTTCTCTCTACAACTTCTATCAATTACTAAAAGTATTAAAATCTTCAGCTGCAACTATACATTTTTAAATTTCCCCTTTCAGCTCTATCAAGTTTTGTTTCATACCTCATGTTAGATTATAACGCCCTTTTATGTCTCCGTTATCCCTTGTGATGTCTCTTACTCTGAAATCTGCTTTGTCTGACATTAATATAGCCACTCAAACTTTCTGTTAGTATTAGCATGGTGCATCTTTTTCTATACTTTTAGACTGCATCTATTTAAAGTAGATTTCTTATAGACACAAATAATTGTGTCTTTTTATACAATCTGGAAACCTCTGCCTTTTAATGAAAAGGTTTGGTTCACTTACATTTTTTATTGTGGTAAAATATACATAACATAAAATTAACCATTTTAGCCATTTTAAGTGTACAATTCAGTGACATCAAATATATTCATACTGTTGTGCAATCTCACCTCCATCCATATCCAGAACTTTTGCATCAGCCTGAACTGAGACTCTGCACCCAGGAAATACTAACTCCCCATTCTCCCCTCCCTCAGACCATGGAACCACTATTCTACTTTCTGTCTCTGGGAATTTCATGATTCTAGGTATCTCTAGTCCACTTACATTTAATGTAATTATTAATACCATGTGGCTATTTGTTTTTCATTTGTCCCATCTGTGCCTTGTTCATAAGTTTTTCTTATTTCTTTTGGATTGAGGACTTTTTAGTGATGTGATTTTATTTTCATTATTGGCTTACCAGCTGTATTTCTTTATTTTCTTTTCCTAGTGGTTGCTCTAGACTTCATATATACATATGCATTCATGTCCTGTGGTTGCTGTAACAGATTACCACAAACTTTGTGGCTTAAAACAGAAGAAATTTATTCTCCCACAATTATGGAGGCCAGGTGTCTAAAATTAAGGTGTTGGAAGGGTCACATTCCCTCCAGAGGCGCTAGAGGGAAAGCTGTTCCTTGCCTCTTCAAGCTTCTGGTGGCTACCAGCATCTCTGTGCTTGTGGGT